CCAACAGTCTTGAAGGGGTTCCCTCATATGCTGAGCACTTGTTAGCTGTTTTTCCTTCTCTGCAGTCTAACTCATCCCAAACCATCTCAATTGGGTTGATGTCGGGGGACTGTGGAGGCCAGGTCATCTGATGCAGCATTCCATCACTCTCCTTCTTGGTCAAATAGCCCTTACACAGCCTGGAGGTGTGTTGGGGCATTGTCCTGTTGAAAAACAAATGATAGTCCCTCTAAACACAAACCAGATGGGATGGCGTATTGCTGCAAATTGTTGTGGTAGCCATGCTGGTTAAGTGTGCCTTGAATTCTAAATAAAACATAGCAGTATCACCAGCAAAGCACCCCCATACCATCACACCACCTCCTCCATGCTTCACGTTGGGAACTACACATGCGGAGATCATCCGTTCATCTACTCTGCGTCTCACAAAGACACGGCGGTTGGAACCAAAAACCTCAAATTTGGACTCATCAGACCAAAGGACAGATTTCCACCGGTTTAATGTCCATTGCTCGTGTTTCTTGGCCCAAGCATGTCTCTTCTTATTAGTGTCCTTTAGTAGTGGTTTCTTTGCAGCAAAGTCGACCATGAAGGCCTGATTCACGCCGTCTGCTCTGAACTGTTGATGTCTGTTACTTGAACTCTGTGAAGCATTTATTTGGGCTCCAATCTGAAGTTAACTCTAATGAACTTATCCTCTGCAGCAGAGGTAACTCTGGGTCTTTCCTGAGGCGGTCCTCATGAGAGCCAGTTTCATCATAGCGCTTGGTTATTTTTTTCGACTGCACTTGAAGAAACGTTCAATGTTCTTATTTTTCCGTATTAACTGACCATCATGTCTTAAAGTAATGATGGACTGTCGTTTTCTCTTTGCTTATTTGAGCTGTTCTTGCCATAATATGGACTTGGTCTTTTACCAAATAGCCCTATCTTCTGTGTACCACCCCTACCTTGTCACAACACAACTGATTGGCTCAAAAGCAGATGGAAGGAAATTCCACAAACTTTTAATCAGGCACACCTGTTAATTGAAATGCATTCCAAGTGACAACCTCAGGAAGCTGGTTGAGAGAATGCCAGGAGTGTGCAAAGCTGTCATCAAGGCAAAGGGTGGCTACTTTCAAGAATTTCAAATATAAAAAAGTTTTGTTTAACACTTTATTGGTTACTACGTGATTCCATATGTGTTCATAGTTTTGATGTCTTCACTACTATTTTCTACATTGTAGAATAATACAAATATTGAAAAACCCTGGAATGAGTAGGTGTCCAAACTTTTGACTGGTACTATATGTGTGAGTGCATTCGAAAAGTATTCAGACCCCTTCCCCTTTTCCACATTTTGTTACATTACAGCCTTATTCTAAAATGGAATAAATAAATAAATCTCAGCAATCTACAAACAATACCCCATTATGACAAAGCGAAAAAGTTTTTTTGAAATGTATGCAAATGTATTACAAATAAAAAAACGAAATACCTTATTTACATAAGTATTTGGACTCTTTGCTCGAAATTGAACTCCGGTGCATCCTGTTTCCATTGATCATCCTTGAGATGTTTCTACAACTTGATTGGAGTCCACCTGTGGTAAATTAAATTGATTGGACATCATTTGGAAAGGCACACACCTGTCTATATAAGGTCCCACAGTTGACAGTGCATGTCAGAGCAAAAACCAAGCCATGAGATCGAAGGAATTGTCCGTAGAGCTCTGAGACAGGATTGTGTCGGCACATATCTGGGAAAGGGAACCAAAAAATTTCTGCAGCATTGAAGGTCCCCAAAAACACGGTGGCCTCCATCATTCTTAAATGGAAGAAGTTTTGAACCACCAAGACTCTTCCTAGAGCTGGCCGCCCGGCCAAACTGAGCAATCGGGGGAGAAGGGCCTTGGTCAGGGGGGTGACCAAGAACCCAATGGTCACTCTGACAGCACTCTAAATTTCCTCTGTGAAGATGGGAGAACCTTCCAGAAGGACAACCATCTCTGCAGCACTCCACCAATCAGGCCTTTTATGGTAGAGTGGCCAGACAGAAGCCACTCCGCAATAAAAGGCACATGACAGCCTGCTTGGAGTTTGCCAAAAGGCACCTAAAGACTCTCAGACCATGAGAAACAAGATTCTCTGGTCTGATGAAACCATTATTGAACTTTTTGGCCTGAATGCCAAGCGTCACGTCTGGAGGAAACCTGGCACCGCCATCCCTACGGTGAAGCATGGTGGTGGCAGCATCATGCTGTGGGTATGTTTTTCAGCGGCAGGGACTGGGAGACTAGTCAGGATCAAGGCAAAGATGAACGGAGCAAAGTACAGAGCGATCCAGAGCGCTCAGGACCTCAGACTGGGGCGAAGGTTCACCTTCCAATAGGACAATAACCCTAAGCGCACAGCCAAGACAACGCAGGAGTGGCTTCGGGACTAGTCTCTGAATGTTTTTGAGTGGCCCAGCAAGAGCCCGGACTTGAACCCGATCGATCATCTCTGGAGAGACCTGAAAATAGCTGTGAAAAAAATGCTTCCCCATCCAACCTGACAGAGCTTGAGAAGATCTGCAGAGAAGAATGGGAGAAACTTCCCAAATACAGGTGTGCCAAGGTTGTTGCGTCATTCCCAAGAAGACTCGAGGCTGTAATCGCTGCCAAAGGTGCTTCAAGTACTGAGCAAAGGGTCTGAATATTTATGGAAATGTGATATTTCCGGTTTTAATTTTTTTTAAATTAGCAACCATTTCTACAAATCTGTTTTTGCTATGTCATTTGGGGTATTGTGTGTAGGTTGAGGGGGGGGAAAAACAAATCCATTTTGGAATAAGGCTGTAACGTAACAAAATGTGGAAAAAGTCTAGGGGTCTGAGTACTTTCCGAAGGCACTGTGTATATATACGTATGTGTGATACTTTAATTAGAACAGACACTGGTAGTTTATTTAGTGTTGTTTTTACACTGTTCGAAATGGTCAGAAAAAATTCTGATATTGTAATTGTAACACACAATACTCACGCAACACTTGTTCTTGATCTCCAGTAGTTTCCACAACTAAGTCAAATGTCTTCCACTCATCTGACTTTCCCTTTCCCTTCTGAACAACCAGTAAACACTCCCTTTTTCGAGTTTCTTTTTCACATCCTCCGCATCCATTTTGCTGTCACGTGTTATGGTGTTCGGAGTTGGATATAACCCATTTATTGATGTGATTATGAAATGCTATAGGTCAGGCCCTATTGGTCATTTGCATGCGATGCATACATGTTTCACGTAAAGAGAGCAAGGGTTGAGGGAATAGGGAATGTTTTTCCTAAAGAAATTAGGGATTTCGATAACTTTTGTCAGAGAAATAAGTAAAACGAAATAGCTGATATTATGTTGCAGCTTCAGCACCGACAGCGCGATAAACACTTGCTGTGCTGTGGTACCTTTTCGCTGCAGCAGGGAGGAGAGAGAGACGACGTGCACCAGTCACACAGGCATTCAGTCTTCTTTTTGGCATGCCCATCGGGCTCCCTCTTGAGTCATTTGTGTCTTAATTATTTAATCAAACTGTGCTTTTAAAGCTCCGCGCATATAGTTGATTTTATTCAAACACATAGTCTATATATGGAAAAATACACATTAAAAAAAAACTGACAACTCTCTGTCCACCAAGATTTTTGTGTTGTTGGGGACAGCCCTAGATCCATTTCCCAGCTGGGTCATTAAAGTTGCACGCGCAGTTCGTCATCAGAAACCTCTTTGTTTTAGTGCAAGTTAACAAATAAGTAATCAGAGGGTTATCGCCTACAATATCACAGATGTCATCAGAGGATTGATTACCTAGGAAGCTATCTAGGCAAGGTAAATAGAGCTAGATAAATCCAGAATAAGAATAATTGTTGAACATGGCTATAGCCATCAGTCTTGTGTGTTTTCATGGTCATCACTCACTCACTGTTACATTTGTCAAGGTCCCGACACCAGCATTAGCTATCCTGCTACACACCAGCATTAGCTGTCCTGCTACAGAGCTTTTTGATGTCAGGATGCGAGCGCATCACTCAAACGTGACGTTTGATGGTAAACAGAAAATGGCTCTGTGGTTTGATCACTAACCATCAGACTACCTGACCACTAGAGGGAACACTGACTCACATTCATTTGATGACCGCAGTTCACCTGTTGAACAGATGGTCAATTTTCTCAGGATTAATACTATGTGTGCGCATGTCCGTCCTCATTCTACAGGACATCCTGTGTCTTTGAGAGACTATTGATTGAGCTGGACCTTGCTGGACCACATTTGCTGCATTAAGCACCTATTATCGAGCCATGTCTGCTTTGCTCCACATCTGCCGCAGCATTCACATATTGCCACCAACAGTAAATCACTTCCTACGTGCTTATTATGATTTGTTTTATGGAAATGCTGTGAATAATGAGTACCGGCTGTTTATTTGTGCTGTTTCCAATTTTCATGTCCTTTCACAGCTGAAAATTGATACATAACACAACCGTTTTTTAAGGTGCTTAATGTCGCTCTCTCTCTCACTCGCTCTCTCTGCACAGCTGCCCATATGGTGGCGGTTTCTCCTTCAGACCAAAAAGCTCTCGAAACTCTGCTGAAAGCCTAGAGAAAGAGAGTAGTGTACGTGTGTGCCCGCCCACCTGACAGGGTGTGCATGCATGCTCTGCCGTAGGGGTGCTGGAGTGTATAGACCGTGGTTGAGTTGCTAAATCCCAGACAGCCTCTCCACCCACCAGTTACCCTGGGGAACAGCCACCACACTCTACTGTGTGTGGGCAGGGGCCCAGCTTCACCAAATAAACAAAGTCTTGTGTCAAAGGTGAGGTAGACATGGTGTTGAAGGTGGCTGATTCCAAGTGCTATGAAATGGATATTAGTTCTGAATATGGATCACAGGGACTGACTTACCATAGCACAGCACTACAGCCAAATGGAATGCTCGATTAGACTAGCTTGTGAAAGTTAACAAGCTCTCACTTTTTCTTGTTCCCTTCAGATGAGAACACTCATGAGTCCAACGAAGATGGAGAGGGAGAAGGACAACGACTGAGGAGAAGAAGAAGAAGGAGGAAGGGAACAACAGCTCCAGGAGGAGGGACAGTCGCTGGCCAGGCTACAGACTCCAACCCTGGGGATCCAACCATGGCTCCGACGCCCACGAAGGAGGAAGGCGAGCGGCTCAGCAAGAACAAGAGGAGGAAGCTAAAGAAGAAACGCCACAAAGAGAAGCTCCTGTCTCTGGGTCTGATGCCCCGCGCTGCAGCTCTGGAGTTCACCTACCAGAGAGAGGGGGATAGGGAGGAGGAGGAGGACGAGGAGGAGGAGGAGGATGAAGAGATGAGGCAGAGAAGAGCAGCTGAAGTGATGGACTTCCTCAGGACCACACAGGAGATCTACGTGTCTGATCGTAAGTATCATACCAGGGCTGCTAATCAACCCAGATACGGTCACATATAGCCTAGGCCAGGGCTCTCCAACCCTGTTCCTGGATGTCTACCCTCCTGTATCTTTTCAATCCAACCCCAGTTGTAACTAACCTGAGTCAGTTTATCAATCAGGTAATTATTAGAATCAGGTGCGCTAGAATAGGTTGGACTGGAAACCTACAGGATGGTAGCTCTCCAGGAACAGGGATAGGCTGTGTCTCACTCTTCCTAAGAGCTGGCCAAAAGTAGTGCACTGTATGGGGAAAGGGGGTTTTACCCATGCTCTTCAAGTGCCGAAGCATAGTTTATTTTATAGCCTTCAGATTGGCTGAAAATAAATAATTTGAGGAGCACTGTGCAGAGCACGACCCAAATTGAAAATGAAAACGCAGGTAATGAATCACTAACCTATAACACAAATGGTCACAACTTGAGGACCTTGAGAGATTTTAAGGTCTCAGGTGTTTAGGATACTTCCTCATGCTCAAGCGTAATGTACAGGCTCTGGCATAATCCCTCCCTGACTTGCCTCTGGAAGAAAGGCTTCTTTGTTGATGGTGAGTTACTGTGGAAGGCTAGGAAGGAAGACCTCTGGAAATGTCCACTCTTGTTCAGTTAAAGGGGCTCAGATGCTCATTTCCTTAATATGCACCTCTGTCTCAACATAGACCCCATGATTGTTAAGGTATTAGAGACATTGGTAAAAGCTCCATTTGCTGCTGTCATATGACCGAATTTGCCCACATCCTGCTTAGCGCAGCCCCCATTCAGCATTGGAGCTTTTAATGGTTGGTGAAGTAAAAGTATCTCCTCCTCTTTCCTCACACTCTCCGGGGTCATCGCCTGCAGGCAGGCTTCATGTGTCCTCTGTGGTAGTGGAGGGCCTTCTGACCAGCCTGTCCAATGGAACATTCTCCCCTGCTGTTTTGGCCCAGCTCCACAGCCTCAAGTCCCTGGTGCAGCAACAGGACACAGAGAGACTTGCCAAGGCTCTGCAGGAGCTCCAGAACAGCTCTACCATGTCTCCTAGTGAGTAGTCTTATCTGGTTTTACTTTACCTCAACTACCCTGGCCTTAACCATTCTTGTCTGAGCTCACCTGTCCATACTACCAGTCACCTAATCATACATCACCTCACCTCTCAATACCTGCCCTCACCTGGCCATACTAGGCCTTACCTATACATGCATGCTCTCACCTATCCAAACACAAACCAGTTTGAGAGTCACCAGTATCTCCTGCCACCTGGTGTTTTACTCAAGAGCTGCCAGGAGAGCAGTCTTTGTACAGGTCTGGAAATTGTGAATGAGAGAGTCTCAGGTGTGTGTGTTTGGGTCAGTTTAAATCTAACTGATAGGATCAGTGGTAACTTGGCTGGCCCTTGTGCAGAGTATACTACTGCGGTATATTATACGACTGTCCTGTCCAGGGGATTCAGGGCACGGCCGAGCAGGTGGTCATAGTGATGCTCAACTCTCTGCCCTCGTCGCCAAGGCAATGCTGAAGAGGAAAACAAACTCCCCTCCAGTCCAGACCAGTGATCAGTTCCCACAGTAGACTCTCTATAGACCAGGGATGATCAACTAGATTCAGCCTCGGGCCAATTCTTTTTCTTGAGTGGATGGTCGGGGGGCCGGAACATAATTACTAATAATTTGTAGACTGCAAATTGACCGCAAGAAAATATAATATTTGACTAAAACATAATCATTTCAAACCTTGCTTACATTTTGTATATGATCACGTGTTTATTATGTGTGTGAATACTTGGGAACAGATTTCCAAAATGAAAGTCACTTGGAGCTGATTTCTGGTGTTTTTACAGTCTTATGTCCGACAATGAAAATTCAACAAAATATATATACACTGCTCAAAAAAATTAAGGGAACACTTAAACAACACAATGTAACTCCAAGTCAATCACACTTCTGTGAAATCAAACTGTCCACTTAGGAAGCAACACTGATTGACAATAAATGTCACATGCTGTTGTGCAAATGGAATAGACAACAGGTGGAAATTATAGGCAATTAGCAAGACACCCTCAATAAAGGACTGGTTTTGCAGTTGGTGACCACTTCTCAGTTCCTATGCTTCCTGGCTGATGTTTTGGTCACTTTTGAATGCTGGCGGTGCTTTCACTCTAGTGGTAGCATGAGATGGAGTCTACAACCCACACAAGTGGCTCAGGTAGTGCAGCTCATCCAGGATGGCACATCAATGCGAGCTGTGGGAAGGTTTGCTGTGTCTGTCAGCGTAGTGTCCAGAGCATGGAGGCGCTACCAGGAGACAGGCCAGTACATCAGGAGACGTGGAGGAGGCCGTAGGAGGGCAACAACCCAGCAGCAGGACTGCTACCTCCGCCTTTGTGCAAGGAGGAGCAGGAGGAGCACTGCCAGAGCCCTGCAAAATGACCTCCATCAGGCCACAAATGTGCATGTGTCTGCTCAAACGGTCAGAAACAGACTCCATGAGGGTGGTATGAGGGCCCGACGTCCACAGGTGGGGGTTGTGCTTACAGCCCAACACCGTGCAGGACGTTTGGCATTTGCCAGAGAACACCAAGATTGGCAAATTCGCCACTGGCGCCCTGTGCTCTTCACAAATGAAAGCAGGTTCACACTGAGCACGTGACAGACGTGACAGAGTCTGGAGACGCCGTGGAGAACGTTCTGCTGCCTGCAACATCCTCCAGCATGACCGGTTTGGCGGTGGGTCAGTCATGGTGTGGGGTGGCATTTCTTTGGGGGGCCGCACAGCCCTCCATGTGCTCGCCAGAGGTAGCCTGACTGCCATTAGGTACCGAGATGAGATCCTCAGACCCCTTGTGAGACCATATGCTGGTGCGGTTGGCCCTGGGTTCCTCCTAATGGAAGACAATGCTATACCTCATGTGGCTGGAGTGTGTCAGCAGTTCCTGCAAGAGGTAGGCATTGATGCTATGGACTGGCCCGCCCGTTCCCCAGACCTGAATCCAATTGAGCACATCTGGGACATCATGTCTCGCTCCATCCACCAACGCCACGTTGCACCACAGACTGTCCAGGAGTTGGCGGATGCTTTAATCCAGGTCTGGGAGGAGATCCCTCAGGAGACCATCCGCCACCTCATCAGGAGCATGCCCAGGCGTTGTAGGGAGGTCATACAGGCACGTGGAGGCCACACACACTACTGAGCCTCATTTTGACTTGTTTTAAGGACATTACATCAAAGTTGGATCAGCCTGTAGTGTGGTTTTCCACTTTAATTTTGAGGGTGACTCCAAATCCAGACCTCCATGGGTTGATAAATTTGATTTCCATTGATAATTTTTGTGTGATTTTTGTTGTCAGCACATTCAACTATGTAAAGAAAAAAGTATTTAATAAGATTATTTCATTCATTCAGATCTAGGATGTGTTATTTTAGTGTTCCCTTTATTTTTTTGAGCAGTGTATATTTTTGCCCTTAAAACACTTGGGTGGCCAAATAAAACCACCCGCGGGCCACAAGTTGGGGAACCCTGCTATAGACTCACTATAAACTAAAACCATACAGCTTATTCCTGCTGGTCCCCTCCACCTGCTCCTCAGATGTGGACAAGCTTTGTGAATTTCCCAAAAAACTTAATTAGTCATTAAAGGGGAAGCTTTGGATTCAACATTGGCCAGCATCCCTGTGGAATGCTTTCGACACCTTGTAGGGTTCATGTCTCGACAAATAGAGGCTGTTCAGAGGGCGAGGGGGGGGGGGCACACTGCTCCGGCACTGTTTGTTCATTTTGCTACTGTCCACCAGTCTTTGGCTTGGGTGGCTGAAGTCTTAGGCAATTTTTTGGGGCCTTCCTCTGACACTGCCTGATATAGAGGTCCTAGGTGACAGAGAGCTCGGCCCCAGTGCTGTACTGGGCCGTCTGCACCACCCTCTGTTGCGCTTTGTAGTCGAGGGCTGCACATTTGCCATACCAAGCGGTGATGCCGTCATTCAAGATGCTCTATAATTTTTTGAGGATCTGAGGGCCCATGCCAAATATTTTCTGCCTACTTATGGGGAAGAGGTGCAGTCGTGCCCTCTTCATGACTGTGCGGGTGTGTGTGTGTGTGTGGACCATGTTAATTCCTTAGGGATGTGGACGCCAAGGAACTTGAAGCTCTCAACCTGCTCCACTACAGCCCTGTCGATGTGGATGAGGGCGTGTTCTCCCCTCTTTCTCCTGTAGTCCACGATCAGCTCCTTGGTCTTACTGACATTGAGGGAGCGGTTGTTCGCCTGTCACCACACTGCCAAGTGTCTGACCTCCACCCTGTAGGCTGTCTCATCGCTGTCGGTGATCAGGCCTACCACCGTCAGCAAACTTGATGATGGTGTTGGAGTCATGCGTGGCCACGCAGTCGTGGGTGAACGGGGAGTACAGGAGGGGACTAAGCACGCACTCCTGAGGGGCCTCTGTGTTGAAGGTCAGCGTGGCGGAGGTGTTTTTGACTACCCTTACCACCTGGGGCCGGCCTGTCAGGAAGTCCAGGATCCAGTTGCAGAGGGAGGTGTTCAGTCTCGAGCTTGGTGATGAGCTTGTGGGGGACTATGGTATTGAACACTGAGCTGTAGTCTATGAACAGCATTCTCACATTAGTTATTTCCCGTCTTGTCCAGGTGGGAGATGGCAGTGTGAAGTGCAATGAGATTGTGTCATTTGTGGACCCGTTGGGGCGGTATGCAAATTAGGGTAGGTCCAGGGTGTCTGGGATGATGGTGTTGATGTGTGTCATGACCAGCCTTTCAAAGCTCTTCATAATTACAGATGTGAGTGCTACAGGGCGATAGTCATTTAGGCAGGTTACCTTGGAACTCTTGGGAACAGGGACAATAGTGGTCAGCTTGAAACATGTTGGGATTACTAACTGGGTCAAGGAGAGGTTAAAACACAGACGGTACACACAGACAGACGGGTACAGTACTAGACTTAGACCAGGATAATTAGTTTACTTGTCCTCATCACTATGGAATGGCAATAATGACCTCATTAAATAACTAATGTTTATCCACTCATTGTTCCTAATTGCAATCAAACTGTAATGTAACGTGTGTCTCGTCTTTCCAGGTGAGGCCACTGCAGTTGTGTCCCTATTTCAATACTGGATCACAGACATCCTGCCCCTGCAGAGACAGGAAGACAGGCCAACCAACAACACAAACCTCTTAGTCGAACCAACGAACAACACAGCCTTAGACTTTCCTAGATGTTCAAGGTTTTAAACAATACTACTGACGGAAAACGTATCTGACTTCATTCATTGTGAGCCCACAACCATGAACAGTAAATCTGTGAACTGTTTGAGGAGAATACTGCATATAAAAGTTTTAAAGGTGCCACACATAGGATTATTTTAGAATTTTTGCATTGTAATTTCCAAAAATGTCCGTAATACATCTGCAGTAATAGTGGAATGATAGTGTTTCGAAGTATTACTTACCTGCCGTGTTATGATTGGCTGTGATATTCGCCTATTGATTTCTCCCGCCGGGCAGGCATCTGTTTTCAAAATGGGAAATCTGTTCTGACTTTGGTATCTAGTGGAAATCGGATCAAGCGGATAATGTAGAAATAGCTCTTTCGTTTTCTGGTTGCTAAAATTCTACGCTCAATTTCAGTTTGTGAGAAAACAAGCACTGAATAGTGTAGAGAATCATTGTACCATCTAAATCGCTGTGAAATACATTTTCAATAACAAACAAAAAATGTTTTTACAGCTGTTTGAAGCTGGTGGACCAAAAGTAAATGGCTCAACCGCGAGTCTCCGCCATGTTATGGGGATATGGATGCGGGGGAGATTTGTTTTGAATGCAGCCTAGTGCTGTTGCAATTCACCTAGCTTCCCCACAGGAGAAATTCAGAGAAATTCTGTGTGTAGCACCTTTTTAAGCATTTTTTAAAAGAAATTTATTTTTTGTTTGTTTATGCACACTCGTTAAGCTGTTAATTAGGAGTGGATATGTATGGTAATGTCTGTGTGCGTATTAAAAAGTTTGTTTTGATAAAGATTTTGCTTTTATTTTTATTGCCCACCTGATATACAGTAAGACATTACACTCTAATTACTTCTTCAAATATAGAGGCTGTTGGATCATTCTACCTTCCATGAGTAAGCGTGATAATGCCACTATTGAGTTACTGTTAGTTGTTTCATATGATAGCATGGATACCTAATTAGGAGTAGCATAACACTTAGGTCATTTGGAAGGAGGACGCTGAGACGTAAATGCCAAGTCTGCCCTAAATCTACACGTGTACAGTGGGGAGAACAAGTATTTGATACACTGCCGATTTTGCAGGTTTTCCTACTTACAAAGCATGTAGAGGTCTGTAATTTTATCATAGGTACACTTCAACTGTGAGAGATGGAATCTAAAACAAAAATCCAGAAAATCACATTGTATGATTTTTAAGTAATTAATTTGCATTTTATTGAATGACATAAGTATTTGATACATCAGAAAAGCAGAACTTAATATTTGGTACAGAAACCTTTGTTTGCAATTACAGAGATCATACGTTTCCTGTAGGTCTTGACCAGGTTTGCACACACTGCAGCAGGGATTTTGGCCCACTCCTCCATACAGACCTTCTCCAGATCCTTCAGGTTTCGAGGCTGTCGCTGGGCAATACGGACTTTCAGCTCCCTCCAAAGATTTTCTATTGGGTTCAGGTCTGGATACTGGCTAGGCCACTCCAGGACCTTGAGATGCTTCTTACGGAGCCACTCCTTAGTTGCCCTGGCTGTATGTTTCGGGTCGTTGTCATGCTGGAAGACCCAGCCACGACCCATCTTCAATGCTCTTACTGAGGGAAGGAGGTTGTTGGCCAAGATCTCGCGATACATGGCCCCATCCATCCTCCCCTCAATACGGTGCAGTCGTCCTGTCCCCTTTGCAGAAAAGCATCCCCAAAGAATGACGTTTCCACCTCCATGCTTCACGGTTGGGATGGTGTTCTTGGGGTTGTACTCATCCTTCTTCTTCCTCCAAACACGGCGAGTGGAGTTTAGACCAAAAAGCTCTATTTTTGTCTCATCAGACCACATGACCTTCTCCCATTCCTCCTCTGGATCATCCAGATAGTCATTGGCAAACTTCAGACGGGCCTGGACATGCGCTGGCTTGAGCAGGGGGACCTTGCGTGCGCTGCCGGATTTTAATCCATGACGGTGTAGTGTGTTACTAATGATTTTCTTTGAGACTGTGGTCCCAGCTCTCTTCAGGTCATTGACCAGGTCCTGCCGTGTAGTTCTGGGCTGATCCCTCACCTTCCTCATGATCATTGATGCCCCACGAGGTGAGATCTTGCATGGAGCCCCAGACCGAGAGTGATTGACCGTCATTTTGAACTTCTTCCATTTTCTAATAATTGCGCCAACAGTTGTTGCCTTCTCACCAAGCTGCTTGCCTATTGTCCTGTAGCCCATCCCAGCCTTGTGCAGGTCTACAATTGTATCCCTGATGTCCTTACACAGCTCTCTGGTCTTGGCCATTGTGGAGAGGTTGGAGTCTGTTTGATTGAGTGTGTGGACAGGTGTCTTTTATACAGGTAACGAGTTTAAACAGGTGCAGTTAATACAGGTAATGAGTGGAGAACAGGAGGGCTTCTTAAAGAAAAACTAACAGGTCTGTGAGAGACGGAATTCTTACTGGTTGGTAGGTGATCAAATACTTATGTCATGCAACAAAATGCTAATTAATTACTTAAAAATCATACAATGTGATTTTCTGGATTTTTGTTTTAGATTCTGTCTCTCACAGTTGAAGTGTACCTATGATAAAAATTTACAGACCTCTACATGCTTTGTAAGTAGGAAAACCTGCAAAATCGGCAGTGTATCAAATACTTGTTCTCCCCACTGTATAGTCTCCATCCACGCAGAGGTCGCGTTCTCCTGCTTGGACGTTGCATGCATCAACCAATGGTTGTGTGCCACATCATCGACTGGGCCGTCGGCACCAGATTTCTATTACATAATTTGGTTAGCTGATACGTAAAATACCTATCCAGGCGTAGGATCTTGCATGCGTCAGCAATGCCTGGGCAGAGGAACTCGCCCACAATGTTACTGACATTCTGTTTGTGAGTGAAGTTCAGTTGATAATCACCTATTGTCCCAGAGCCAACAGCTTATCCACTGACATCACAGCATCTGACTTTAGCACTGAGCATTCTAATCTAGAATTGATTTCATTCCAGATGCTGATTTAGAAATGAGTGGCTTTATGAGATGAGGCATAGTCCTGGCTGGATCAGTAGCTAGCTACCATAGCGGTTGTGAACCATTAACACAAGGGCCACCATCTGTGGCCCCTATTCATAAGAGGAGCCGCCAGGTGCTGTGGTGTCTGGTTCATGCTTATAGGCCCATTGTGGAGTATTTAGCCAGAGGGGACGATGAGGTCAAACTACATTCCCATCATGCTGTAACAACAGTGAGTGTTAGCAGCATACCATTAGCACTTTGCCTGGTGGTGCTGCTAAAAGTCACACTGTTTTATTCAGCCTTGTCATCTTTTTGAGGATGTGAGATGGATAGGCTATCGCGGACCCTCTTTTAAGTCTTGTAAGACTTTTACGAGTTACAAGCAACTCAGTTTCATACATGTCATTGTAATATAACGTGAATGTCCATTCAGAGGAGTATCTTTCTAGGTAAATTGTTTTTAATGCATGTCTCACAAGAATGTCTCAAGATAACTCACACACTGCCTTACGAACTGCTTTACAACATGCCATAACACTGTCATGCATACCATGACATCTCCCCCTTTTAACTTTTACACATTTTCCTTTTATCCCCTTCTAAAAATTAGTGTAACCATAATGAAAACAACCGTACTTCAGAATAGTGATAAACACATTTTACTGTAAAGGTTTTGAAAGAACAATAAAGCAACGCAACATTCCACATGTACATTTTCTTTTTATCATCACTTTCCCCCCCCCAAAGTCTATTGACCTGTAGTGTCTCATTTCAATGTCTCTTTGTTTCTATAGTTGTTCTTTACAGGTCCAGGCTGACAACTGGTTTGCTAACCCTACCAGACCTGGTAAGTAACAGTCCTTGACCAGCAGCCTGTGTGCTGTCACTCAAGGTAGGTGAAACAGTCTCTTGTTGACCATTGTCTGGCTGTAGATTGTTTTCTCTTCTTTCAGGAGAGGCCGTGCCTACCCATTTAGTTGGGGTAGGCACTGCCTGGAGGTGGCGACGGTTTCGTCGTAGTGTTCCTCCTTTCTGCATCTCGGTTACGTAAGACCTGGGTGTGGTGCTTTCACCTGTTACAACTGCAGGTGTCATCCACTCCTTTTGGTGATGGAGCTTGTTGAGCACGGTTTCTCCCAGCAGTAGCAACTGTAATGGTCTCGCCCCGTGATGTTGGTTGTAGTAGAAGGCTTGTTTCCTCTTTCTGCTTCATCATTTAGCCTGATGTGTTTTTTCTGTTGGGTCACTTAGGTTGCAGGTTTCTCTCCAAGGTTGGGACTGTAGTTCTGATTTTTCTACCAATGAGGCGCTCTGCTGGGTTTGCTCCTGTTGTTGTGCATGGGGTTGACCTGTAGCACGAGAGCAACCAGCGGGTCTTTCTGCTTCAGAATCCTCTTCGAGGTCTGCACTGCCCTTTCTGCGTGACCGTTACCCTGAGGGTTGTGCAGGCTGGAGGTAATGTGCTAAAGTCAAGCTGCTTTGCCATTTCTTGGAACTCGGGACTAGAGAATTGGGGCCCATTATCACTAACAACCTCATCTGCAATATCATACCTTGCAAAGGTTCCATTCAGCTTCAGGGCGACCTGTGTGCTTGTGGTTGTAGGCATGTGTAATATCTCGATGAACCTTGAGTAGTAGTCTGATATGATCAGATATATATATATATATATATATATATATATTTTTTTTTGTTAGGCTTACATCGGTCCAAAGCAATTATTTTCCATGGCTGAGTGGCGTTGAGATTAGTGGCTCCTTTTGCTGTGCCTTTCTAAGCTCACAAGACTGACATGACAGGACCTATTTATCTCTGATGAGATCCCCGGCCACCATACTGAGGCGTTGGCCCTCTCTCTGCATTTAGTCAGACCTTGATGTCCATCGTCTATTCTATCAAGAATGTCTGCCCTCTGTGTCTTTTTTGGTTCTAGCATGCGTTTTCCCCTTGTGACTATACCATTGTACTCTGACAGTTCACTTTTCACTGGGAAAAACTCTCTGACTGTGACTGGGTTTTACTCACATGTTCAGGCCAGTCTGACCTGATGTACTTGATCACTGTCTGTAGTTTATCATCTGCTGCAGTGACAACTCTGATGCTCTTCATTTTTGTCTGTGTATCAGTTATGTTGTTGATTACGGCTGTGATGTAACACTCCACATCCATGTGTGTGTCTGTTTCCTTTTCTGTGCGTGTCAACGGACTCC